TTGATACTTACATCACAAAATAAAATGCATAATAGTATTTCAGCATACCCCTTAAATTGTGGCTCGAAATCGATTCCATTGAATAAGGTATTCACCACCTTCCAGATACAATGGACTTCCGAGTCAAAAGAACCGTTTGACATATGATAAGCCACGGCCAGGTCCTCAACTGCTTTGGGAACATCTTGGGGTGATTCAATTGGACCTATTGTGTTGTCAATTTGCTATGTACTGAGAATCGTTTTATCTGTTTACTGTAATGATGCTGTCAGCACTTTTCTCGTAGGTTCTAGACTTGCCACTAAACATATTACTTTCTCGGATTGAGTTCATGTTTAACTTTAACATTTTTATGGTTTTTCAAGATAATAGGATGTTATGTTATTGGATGTATGTCCGATTGTTTTACTTTTAAAATATAAAAAGTACAAATTCTAAATCAAGATAAATAAATATTCAAACTTAAAATAAATCTACTTTTCCAATAATTATGCAACTTTTCACTTCTATAAAATGTAAGTTCAAGTAACACAGGTCAACGATAATTAATCTTATTTTCAAATAACCGTTTTGTGCCAATTTGAAAATATACATCGTATGTTAATAACATATCTAGAGCATTATACCTCATTATACTGAATTCATATTGAAGTACATTTCCGATAAACATAATGTTCTAATCTATCACAATTCAATGCTTGTAGAAATTACTAAAATCGCCAGTTAAACTATTTAATTGAAGTTAAAAGTATTGAGACTATTACTAACAAATTTAGTGAAATATTCGTCTCATCAGTAATTCCTGTTAACTTCCAATCGTTTCGCAATATTTTCGTTCTCTTTGTAACTAACTCTTTGTAACTTTTTGTAAAAGACAAGTCAAAGGTAAATAGGAAATCAAGTTAGTAAACGTCACTGAACATGAAAGGCAAATTACGTTAAATTTTTGGAAAAACTTTCAAGAATACTGCACTAGAAGTCAATATTTCTCGTTACTGATTTCATCTATGATAAATAAAACAGAATCGGGAATACATTTTTAGCAAAAATTTCCTTTTGATATTTAATTAGTTTGAAGTTTTAACGAATTTTATAAAGTTAGAAATATTTTTTTTGGATTCATTTTTACAGCATTGAAAAGTTGTACTATGTTTTTGTCTCATACTATATATTTTGTATATTCTGTTATTGTGAGTTATTAACACAATTCAGAATATTTGCACCTGATTATAATTTGTCGATTTTGATACTATACTTATATACTACTTGATACATGATATACATTGATTCTCGACCAACATAAGTTTAATTTCGTCTTGTTTGTGTTTACTTTGTGTTAGACTATATGTCATTGTGTTTCGGTGTTTCTACCTCATGTTTAGCTAAAATATAACACTGTGAATAAAATACTTAAACACTTATATAGCTTCAAAAGCTAAACTTAACCCCTAGGTCAAACTTATCCCCTAGGTAACCCTTAGGTCTAGCCTAAAGTAATCTGAAAAACAATTCCGGGCTTGTGCCTTGGAAATGTTTTTATTCAGTAAATCGTTTACATATTCGGTTTATTAAATAAGGGATAACAATTTAACATTTCGACGAAATGAATTGAGTTTTTGTCACATGTCAACGCCTATGTATTCAGCACCTGCATGTGACACTTGGAAATTCAACCTTACTTTTACAATCTAATACTTATTGAACAAATAATTGTTTGATAAAAATATATTTTGAATTTGTATGTATTTGTCTATAACGTAGTGTAAATACAGGACTGTAATATTTTTCCAACTCATACTTAAATAACTTTAGGATACTGTTATGATAAGTGTGTAGTGTTTATTGTAAGTATTCATAAAAACTTGGGACCGGTAATACGAGTATATTATAAGGTATTGCCACACTATAACTTAAAATAACATAAATGCATATACTAATTTCTAACACAGCATAAGATGTGGTTATGGTTACTGCTTGTCTTATGATAACTCCAATCTTATTGACGGGTATAAATTCATTTCCGGAATTTAAATTAATTTTTAATTTTATAATTGTAATGGAGCTTATTAAAAATAAAAATATTTTTTATCAAGTATTATTTAAAAAAATTATCTATTTGTAAACCATTTAACCAGATTGATCATTAGAATGGTTAAAAAATCATTATTTCCAATGAATGGTTGCTGGTTGGTTCATATATGTATTTACTGCCGATGGTAAACCTTTTAAAATAATTGAGTTGAAGTTATTTAAAGCACTGAAGAAAATTGTTTATAAATATTGTAAGCCTATAAGAACCAATATTAAATATTAACCCAGCCCGGGTAAGTAAGTTTACTTGAAATGAAAATTAATATAAACTAAACAGTGGCGAGGATAAACTTGGGGTTTCTAGAGTGATTAAAAAAGTTGGGTCTTGAAAATATTGAATCATTTCAGTTTCAAGATAGCCACAGAATGGTTTGTTAAACACAACTTGAAACTTTCTGTTTATCGTGGTTTTAGTACTAAGAAAATCTTAGCGTGTTAATTTACGTAGGAAAAGAGTTACAGTTATGTTTATGGAATCTGTTTCAGACATTCATACATTTATTATTTTACGCATCTCTATATTAATATAGTTACAAAACGTTTATATACAGTATATGTATGCACTTAAAATTTGTTTCTTGGCTGTTCAAAGCTCAAAAGAGATATGTATACTTTAAAGTTATAATTATTTGACGATTATATAATTTTTGGACATGAAAATATATATATCAAGTATAACAAAACTAAAAAGATGTATAGCACATTATGAAACCGTTAATAATAAATAAACAAATAACATAAACATGATCCATATATTCCTTATAGATAAACTCTCCTTACGTTTCAAATACCATGTCTGCATGGAAAAACAACAAACCGGAAAGATTAAATGTCGCACAACACCTATTCAAAATGACCACTCTTTAGGGAAAATGGAAGAAAATGTATGTATTTTAAAGAATTGTAAGAAAGTAATTGTGATGAATGCTGGGAAAAATATTATATTTATAAAGGAAAATGTAAAAATATAAATTAGCTAATTAATAAACAAGTGAATTTTGGCTCCAGTTGTATTTGTAGAATCTCCTTGGTCAATACTTCCGGTAGCCAATATGTCATTCATCTATTGGATCTAATGATGATTGGAGTGTCCAATCGAAATCGATCACCACTTACCATCTTTTAAATGTATTTACCGTCTTGTGAGTAAACGTGTTAATTAAAAGTGTTATTTAACGTACTTTTAAACTTTCAAACACATAAAGAAAACAACAAATATAGTGTATTAATTCTTACTGATATTTATTATTTTTAGGGGCTTGGTGGCTTCTTTTAGCCTTGCATTCACCCTTTAACAAGGGCCTGAGTGTTTAACGTGTCCAGCATAGCAAAAGAAACGGCTATTAAAGTCAAGTAAGGATTTTCAATTTAATGATTATAATAAAAAATATGCAGGAGCAAAAAAATACTATAAACATTTCAAATAGATAATACAAATGAATTTCCTTTATTTACTGCGAAAAGATGCATAGCATATGATTGATCTAGCAATATCCTTCTTTATTTTTTGCTAAGTCAGTTACGACGTTTGCAGGACTTAACACATGATCTAAAGTGCAAATTTGTTCTCCAGATGCTGATTTATGACTCCAGTCTGAAGTAGCTTTGACATCCGTTACAATTTGTATCGATATTTTTTTTGTAAATGTATATGTTTATAAATAAAATATGTTTATGTGTAGAATCTAACAATCTCATAAGAAATAAATGTTCTGTTCATTTTTCCAATGGGCTACATGCATAACTATTGTATAGAATAAAGTAAAACAAATTGCTAAGTACAGTCTTATAAAGTAAACATTAAACTCTCTCTACATAATTTTTAAATATATCAATTACTGGCAATTATCAAACATTCTCTTAAGAGTTCAACTGTGTAAAATGTTGATAAAATTAAAATGTTAAAAGCATTATAAGAAGAATAACTATAACTAAATTGTGTCTTTAATTTGATGGTACTAGCTACCGTAGATTTTAAGTAAGAAGATCAGGAACGAAACACCTATCACAGACTTCTCTCCAAACTTAATTAAAGTTGGCTTCATTATTAATGAGCCTATCTGTATATTCATGTTTTAGTTAGCACATGTATATTTATATCAACACAACTATTTTATTTTAATAACTCTTGAGGGCACTAAGAGTTATTAAAATGTATTATCACACAATTTTTCCAATGAGTGCCTTTCCAAAAACATCTTAAGTGATTTTGATCTGTTTGGGCCCATGTTCTTTCCGTGTTCTGATGTGTGGCTCTTAAACCATTTTGGAACAGCAATAGCTTAGCACAAATAATTTTACTACAACTAGTTCAGTACATTATTACCAGCGAAGGGTTGATCTTAAAAAAAAAACCTCAGGAGGAAAGTTTTTATTTTCATAATGATATAGAGGACAGTCAAGTGGTTTTATACAGGAAAATTATACATATTTTAAATTTTAATTTGAATAAGTAAAAACTGTTACATCAGAATGGGCTTTGTAATTAAATTTGACTCTGCTAACTAAGCGTAAATACTATTTGAAGTGTTAGAGTTGCTTTATGGTGTATTTGATGTAAAAAACGATTCTATCTATGAGTTACATTAAGAAATCTGTACACTTAGAACATCCTAAACACGTCTTTGACCTAGGGATGATTGTTTCAGTAGCTTAGTTGTATTAGTGCGTAAATCTATACTTATAACTTAATCTAAGCTATTAAATATACACTGTATTTTTCTAGAAAAAAAAGGAAGTAAAAAAGATGTTATTCTCATCATTTCAATTAAAGCCATTGGAAGATTGGAATGTCTAACAAAATTGATACAAATTTTAAATATTTATTAGTATAATAAATATTTGCCTAGTGTACATACACATACATATATTGCTCAAAAGGTTATTAGATTGTGACTATTATTATTTACCAGTTGCAAGTCTGCGACGTCAGGGTGAGCGGAAGTAGGCTCAGTAGTACACTGACCACCACCACCGTCATGTCGCTGAAACAATACACAATCATTGAAGAACAATTGAATGGTGTGTGAGTTTGTTTATTTGCTTACAATTATATTATACATCAATATATCTATGTGTACGTTAAATATCTCCTACACAGATCTAAGCAGTCACTGAGCCAATTTGCCATCTTTCTCAGAACACGAAGTCCAATATCTTTCTGTGGATTTTTAAGCATTTGATGTGGAGTTTACTTGAGTCTCTAAATAACCCCACACATCCTTTATAAAACATCTGTAATTAGATGTACTGAGCTTATCCCCATTAAATATCAATCTAACATGGTAAAGGGTTACACACATTGTGGACAAATAAATAACTGTAGTTTTCTTTTCACTATCCCAACAATGGTAAGGTTAAATTTACCATCGTCTTCATCGCATTCGCCTGTATTAAAAGATAAACTATCATATGTTTACCTTGATCAAATATTGTAACTGACATTACTACAGTATTTTGCTTTATTGAAGTATCGTATGGTAAATATTATAAGGAATATTAAGTATACAAAAATAACTATCACAATTATTAGAACATAATATTTCTGACATTTAACCACCCTTACCATCGTTCCTGCTGTACTATTATTATATACCTATGTAAGTTATTGTATCAAGGTAAAACCAAAGTAGTTGTCGTTGTAAAATTAACTAAAATCCACCTTACCTAACATGGTTTTTTATAAACATTTGTAGTGGTCGTTTAAATATAAAAAAAACTGATGAAAAAGGAATTTTGAAATGTTTTCCTGAGATTGAACGCAGTCAAAGATGATCGTAAAAGGCTTAGTGAACGCGCCAAGTGCTATATAGCTTATACATTCGTGTGAAAACCGAATAAACTCACAGGCGATCTAATCCCTGCCTAATAAAAGTAATCTCACTCCTCTAAAGCAAAATCTCCTCGGTGAAAAGAACAGTTGAAGACTTACAGGAATTACTCGGCTCTAGAAACTCTTTCCTTTTATATGGTTGTCAAAAGACAGAATTACAGTTCTGAAATCTGCGGGACTCCTTCCACTTGCTCGTTTTGAAAACTCCCGAAATAAACGGCTTTCCTAAAATTTTAATTACAAAACAGTTTTTTTACCATAATATCATAAACTATAAAGGGTACAAAATACATCTATAATTATCATACGGGTTCTCTGGCAGTTCTCAGGTAATTTTATTTGAGACGAAACAACTCAAATATGAGATACATAAAGTCATATGAGTTATAGAAACTGGTTATTGAAAACAGAAAAATATTTTGGATTCGAAAATTTAACTTATAGTTTCTGATATATGTGGAAAAGGTCCCATTACGTTTTATTAGTATTTAAATATTTCCTATTAGTTTAAAACTAACAAATATCTTAATTCGGAAAAAAGTATTTCAGTTTTATCCTCAACGTCTTCAGACGATTGATGTTGGAAAAGTCTCAGTTTTCATAACATGACAAGAGTGTTGGGTTAAAGGCTTCGTTTGAGAAAAACGAGAACCTGCGTAGAAAACACCTTTGTCACCCTACTACGGTAAAACACGCTGAAATATGTGGATATCTTTGTTGTTTGAAGGCAAAAATTAAATTACCTTCAATTTAAGTTAAAACTTAAATTGAGGCTGTAAGTAAAACTTAGATTAATATAAGAAAAGTCTATTGTAAGAAACGTTACCATTGTGTGATTATAATGACGATACTTGACAATAAAAGATAATAATCAGCATTTTACGTCTTTAAGCAATAAAACGAATATTGTGAAATAGGGTTTAGATTATACTTTCAGTTGTTACGTAATGACTCAGTATTACTGTAGTTTGATTCTAAATAGGATTTGTATTTGTTTTGTTACTGTTCCCGTGCAGCAATGGTAAAATTAAGCGTACCTAATGCATTTGCTGCTATTTTATATTTATGTATGTTAAGGGTTTGTCAGAAAAACTTTTGATTTTCTTCCTCATGTGAAAGTTCTTTTATTTAATCATATAGTAATGGTTGACACTAGTTTTATCTGACAAAAACTATGATTTAATGTAAGACACACTTGTGTTTAAGAGATCTTGAAGTCACAAACAAATAATACATCAATACGACAATCCTGAAATTCTAAATAAGATAATTAATTAACGCAGAATCCATACAGATATATTTTATTAGACGAACTTATTTAATTGGATGAGATGAAAAGTGAAATTTTAACTTTAACTATTTTCAAGATAAACTTTTTAAATACAGTAGAATATAACAACACCTTTCCCTTTTGGTTTATTAAAGCAGGATTTTATTTTTGTTTTTGGTCAAAACTTACAGTTTTAATAGTAAGCTATTCTGAATCTACCTTTGATGGAAATCTTTTATATTGGCTTTTATTAAAAATTAAATTTGTCCTAATAACCAATAGGCCACTACCAGATGTATACAAATCTTTGAAATTCAAGGCTTGTCAAGGCCTTGTATAATATGAAATTTGTTATCTATTTATTATAAATTAAATGGCTATCATGAAATGTATAACAAAAGAACTATGATAGATATTTGTTATCTATCGAATTAAAAATACTTTTAATCTCTAAACGATGAAATAAGTGTAGTTATTAGTAATAATTTTACGAATGTAAAACACTATAATGTGACGTATAAGATTTTAGCGCCAAAAAGGATGAACATCAACAGAACACATTTTTTTGTAATGTAAGTGACAGAACGAACAATAGTGACTCTGAATTTCTGGATCCAAATCCTCAATAAGAAGATTATAGCTTGGTAAGTCAGAGCCTTTGTCAGTCAAGTCATGTTGTGAGGTAAAACTGTAAGTCTTCTTTCCTGACATTTCTCAAACTTATATTGACTGAGAAGATTCAAACAATCATTTATATGTCAACCTTGCGTAAGATATGTTGTGTAATATGTAAGGGTATAAGAATATACCTTTAGAGTATATAAATGTTACACAGCTTATGAAGTAGTTTACTAGCATTAAGAAAATTTACAGGAAAGATTCCTTAGCTCAATTCAATAGTTGATTGTGGTGTTATAGTAGGTATTGATTGCGATAGGCTGGTATATTTTTTTTAATGATGACACGAACAAGTATTTGTCACTAAACTTATATCTGTGTGTGAGGATGAGCCCTTTTGCAATATTTAAAATGTTTGATTTCATTTTAATCAAAATGTTAGTTTGTTAATTTTTTTTTTAGATAAACAAAATAATATTTGGACTCTACACAAAATTAAAAAGAGGACTCAATAGAAAAGGAAAATAATACACAAATAATACACAGTAGTTATGATTTAGTTTCTTAGTTTAATTTACTATAAGGCGATTTAATTATATGGAAAGTATAAATGGATACGTACAATAGGTTTTTCATCATTCTATAAAAAAATAGTGTTCTTAATAAATGCTAAAACAAATATTTAGCCTATAAGCGATGCAATATTTTAGCTTGAATTTGAAAAGCTTAAAATTATTCCTCGATTGAATATTTGGCATCAGGTTTTTGGAGTCATAGACATAGACATAGACATAGACATAGACATATTTTATTCTTGAATCAGGTAAAAATGATACAACGCACATCTCAATCGTCAAATACATTATAATGCATATTATGTAGTAGCCTAGTAAGCTTTTAAAACAAAACAAAACATAATTAGTTAAGTCAATTTTATTCTAAAGAACATTTAAACAAATAAATAATAATGCTATGTTTAATGAGATCAGGCATACAGGAATTCTTTGATAGTATAAAACTCCCCTTCCAACAAATAAGTTTTCAGCTGTTTCCCAAAACCTTTAGAACCCAACCTTGAACTGCACTGCTTTACTTCTTCAGGAAGCTTATTATAGAAGAAGGGCCCCGAAAAAATGTACGTTCCTTTCAGAGAGGGTCAGACGATGACATGGAGTACGAAGATCTCATTCGTGCCTAGCGGGGTATCTATGACACTGACCAACCGGTGGAACATCCTTCAGATAATTTACTGCAGATATTAATGCTCTGTATACGAATATAGAAGGTAAAGTTAAAATTTTGTTCTCCTGGAAGACTCCTCTGCATGAATGGAGGTGTGGTAAGAAATTGAGGATACGCGCTGCCCTTTTTGGACGGAAAATACCTTATCAGCATGGAAAGAACCACCCCAGACTTCAATACCATACGTTTGAAATAAACTGAGAAACCATAGTAGACTGCAACTAACATTTCCTAGTTAAGAAGAGGTTGCAGCGTCCTAAGCACATGGCAGATTTGGTTCAACTTGCCACAAAGCTGTGATACATGGTTGGACCATGACAACATTTTATCCACAGTTATACCTAAAAATTTCACAACAGAGCACTCCTCTATCTCGAACTTATCCAACGGTATGGATACAGGGATCTTATTGAGAGTTAGGAATTGCATGAAAACAGACTTATCGGAGTTCAGTTTAAGATTGTTCAGTGATAACCAACTTATAAGCGAACCAACTGACTCTTCAACTCGGGATTGCAAATTGGCACATGGACCTCCAAACAGTAAGGTTGTGACATCCCCATTGGATATTGATTTAGCTGTATGAAGATGCACTAGCATAGGTCATTAATATACACAATAAAAAGCAATGGTCCGAGAATACTACCCTGAGGAACCCCGTACTTGATTCCTATTTTAAAGATACGATCGGAACCAAGCTAGGGGAACTCCTCGAACACCATATTTTTCCAGTTTTCAGGTTTATCGTGATTAACTGTATCGAAAGCTTTCGAAAGACCACAGAATACACTCAGGGCTGGTTTACGCTGTTCAAGGTTGGAAAATACATAATGTACAAACTCCACAACCGCTTGAGTGGTCGAGCGACCGGCTCTGAGACCATATTGGTTTTGAATAAGAATAATATTCATGTCTAGATGATTAATTAACCTGGAGTCGTACTTTTTTACCTGAAGGTTCTAGTTGAAAAACAGTGTTTGGTTTCAACAGGAAACAAGAAAATCAGACGCAAGGGAGCCGAG